CACCAGCTCCTGAATGCACCACGTGCCCATTTACAGCCCATTTACACTTATTTCTTTAATATCTGCTAGAATAAAGTTAATTTTTGAGGGAAAAACAGCAGGAAATGTGAGTCAGAGTCTGAAAAGGAGACCAAACAAAATCTTAAAAATGTCATTAAAGTTCTTAAAAGGCCTTTGAGCTGATTTATTTCCACAGAAATGTGTCAGATTCAGCGTGTGCACTGAGAGATTACAATATCCCAGCTTTCCACCAGCTCCTGAATGCACCACGTGGACAGAAACTGAGAAGTCTGATGCAGAAATAGCTTAAAAAACTGGTCGTGCACGTGTTGAAAGAGCCTTTTTTAACAGGAAGTGATGAAATCTGAGAAGCTGGAGGGAAAATATGTGGAAAACCTTCATGTTTGTGAATATTTCACAGCCGATTTACACTTATTTACTTAATATCTGCTAGAATAAAGCTCATTTTGGAGGAAAAAACAGAAGAGTGTAAAAGAGGATACCAAACAACATCTTAAAAATGTAATTAAAGTTCTTAAAAGGCCTTTGAGCTCATTTATTTCCACAGAAATGTGTCAGATTCAGCGTGTGCACTGAGAGAATACAATATCCCAGCTTTCCACCAGCTCCTGAATGCACCACGTGGACAGAAACTGAGAAGTTGGATGCAGAAATAGCTTAAAAAACTGGTCTGTGCACGAGTTAAAGGAGCATTTTTGAGCAGGAAGTGATGAAATCTGAGAAACTTGAGGGAAAATATGTGGAAAACCTTTATGTTTGTGAATATTTTACAGCCCATTTACACTTATTTATTTAATATCTGCTAGAATAAAGCTCATTTTGGAGGGAAAAACAGCAAAGTGTAAAAAGAGTAAACCAAACAAAATCTTAAAAATTTATTTAAAGTTCTTAAAAGGCCTTTGAGCTCATTTATTTCCACAGAAATGTGTCCGATTCAGCATGTCAACTGAGAGAATCCAATATCCCAGCTTTTCACCAGCTCCTGAATGCACCACGTGCCCATTTACAGCCCATTTACAC